TTTATTTAAATTGTCTTAGCATTTATATAGAACCCCTTGAAGGCTTGAAAATTTGAAATTTACGTTAGATTTAAAAAAATAAATAATTATGAAGCATACATAGTGTATGTGGAGATATATTAGAGGAAGAAAAGGTACTATTTGAGTATGAAGATATTTTGATAATTACAAAATACGTCTTGCAAAAATTATTAATTTATATAGTGATTATTTGTTTTAAAGGAATTGGAAATCAGATTCCCAAAGAAGTTTTGCAGTAATGCTGCCTCCCACAATTGTATGAATATTTAAAGAAGTAATATATATGAGAAACTCCAAGTTGCAAAAGCATAGTTAATTACTGCTTATGAGACAGGGAAATTAAAAAAAAAAAACAACAGGGTTAGTTTCTTTTCCCGTATGTTAAGATGGATATTCTTAGAATTACTGAGGATATACAGGCTAAGAAAGCTAGATTTGCGCTGCCGCTGACAACCTTTGGGAAAATTAATTAAGATAGCAAAGTCTAAACACTGTAAACATGGAGAGGAACGTCACCAGCTTCATGGGAAAATGTTGTACAGCCTAGCGTGGTCCACTGGGGACCCAGACAGAGAGGAGAAATGAGGAACATTGAGAGTTGAAAGTTCAAATAGTAACTGAAAACCTAAAGAAGTATTTCTTGTAGTACGTTCGTGTATGTTTAAACTGTGATTCCACTCAGAGAAGATACTGGAAAAAGTTTGTGGGTTTTCTCATAGTTACCAATAGTATGTTCCAGGAATACTCATTTTGGCCATGGTTGCTGTGTCAGATTTTACTGACAGTCCCTTGAGGCTGATGGCAAGGATATGTACCATCGCCCCTTGGCTGTCTGTCAGTTCCCTGTACAGGGACTGAGGAAAGCAGATTAACCTTCGTTGTTTAACAAACAGTACTAAAAAGAAGGTGTTTATTTACTTCTGACTTAAATGTGCGAATGACAGTTTACACGCTGAAATTTCTGAGTGTAGCAGCAAAATGCTAATCTGTGTTTGTCAGGTGTTTCACTTACAGTTGTGTTTTCTTCAGCTGTTGAGCAATGACTTTACTATTGCTGCTGTATGAGTTTTTTCCCAGCCCACTAAAGAAGGATGAAACTTTTAATTAAAAGAAGTTAACCCTTAAAATATTGATTATTGAAATCTGTCCATTGACAGCAATACACTGTATTCTCAATTTAGAATTTACTAAATATTTGTTACTAAGCAACAAGTTTCACTCATGTTACGAGAATGCAAAGTTATTCCACATATATTAGGTGGAAAACTAGATGTGGAATCTTCATCCTGTTAACTTTCTTTTTGTCTTTCCTCTGTTGTGACATCGTCTGGCTGGTAGGAACCTCAGGCTAAACCCGATTTGGTTTCTCTGATTAATCCTTTCTTCCAGGTTTGGGATATATGTTGGCTTGTTTTTCACCCTGTCTAGTGCAAAATGGTATTATAATTTAATATGATTAATTTCACTGGGAGAATTGGCAAATTTTTTTTTCTATCAGGTTTGAGAGCAGAAAGTTTCTTGGAAAGCTTGCATAGAAATGATGCAACAATTAATTTCAGACTTTTGCTGTAACTGTTCGTTAAGAGTAACTCTTTAGCAGATGTTAACCACATGCGGTGGTCTTTGGAAGGTATTCTTTGGCTTTGCCACAGTATACGAGTATGCAAAAGTGTAACTGTGTGTAAGGATGCACCTTAAAAAAAAGGTACAATATATGTTATGGTCAGTGGTTCTACATGTAAACAGAACATACTTTCCTTTCAGTGTCAAATGTTTTTCTCCAATAGTCAGTGATAGGCCAGCATGTGTTAGCAGTGGTTTTTTATTTTAAACTTTGATACATATGCAAAATGTTGTTGACAGATTGATTGTTGAAGTTGGTTGTTACTTCTATGTAAGTTTTAAGGAAAATAGCCAATATTAGATACTTGGTGTCGCTGTATTCACTTTTGTCTGTGATATCATTCATCTTTGATATCGTCAGTCATTAGAATGTCTTCATGTAATTCAGATTTGTGGTATTTTCAATGAGCCATAATATGAAATGATCATTTTATTACATCATTTACTGTGGGGAGGGGGAAATTAATTTAAAATAAATAAAAATAATAATTTTCACTTTAAAAATCCCTTTGAAAACTTCGATATCTTTTTATGTAGAGATATCTTTTGTTCAAAACCAGTTTATACCTGTTTAGACAGAGATGTCCTTAGATTTTTAAACCTGGATATTTGTTTTAAGCATTTACATGCTATTTCTGTTTGGTAAACTAAACTTTCAGAAATAAGTAATTAAAACCAGCCCCAGTATTTCAGCATTTTCTGAGATGTTTTGAATCACAGCTGGCTAATAAGAATTTTCCTTTCTTCACTTCTTCACCGCCTACATTAAAAACACCTTTTCTGTCACACAGCCTGTGCAGTTTTCCCATAGGGATATGTAATGGAGTTCATCAAAGTGAAAAAAGTGAGTCACACAGTCATTTCTTTACTCATGTAAGACAATAATGGTGTTGATAGTTACCCAGACACGCTTTCATATCTGTAGATTGTGGAAAAGCTGGGAGTTAAAAAGTCTTTGCAGACTAGACTGCAAGTGAAAAGAAAGCAAGCTACATGGCGGTCACTGTCTCATTCAAGGCTGCTTGTTGCCTTTTAGTAACAAGCTGAAATGCTATTGCTCTGAATTTGCTAGAATATTTAATTATATAAATCGTGAAACGAAGTCCTGTTTTTATGGTATAGTCAAATGATATTTCCTATTATTTTATTATGATTAAAATATCATTCTAGATTCTAAAATTATGTCTATCTAGTCTCATGGGCACAAGTTATCTAATATTAAAAAAAAAAAAAGAGAAAAAAAAAGTGCTTTCTCAGATCTCTCCATGTTTTGCAAATAAAACTTTCTCATTATTCCTTTGTGGCGATTTCAAGATTCTTACTGACCCACTAAACTCTGTTTCATATGTAAGGTTTTATGTGTATCTGTCAGACTGATGACTACGTTTCAAGTATAGCATCTCCTACCTGCTCTGTTTTCCTTTCCTGTCCTCTGGGACTGGAGTTTCAACAGTTAGTGACACTGGGCTAACAACAGAAGACCTTATGCATGACTACTGTAAGAGAAACTTGCAATGACTTTGAACAGTAGGCTGGCTCTGATGGGTTTATCAGAGAAGAGAGGATTCCTGACAGTAGTATCATTTGGTAGGAGTGCTTTGCATTGTTTTAATTACTCATTTGCTTTAGCAAAAGCTAGGATGAGTTCCATTAGGAGCCCAGTGAAATAGAGAAGAGCCCTGTATTCCCCAATTATCTTTGGGGCCTATGTTTATCTGTGCAGTAGATCTGCTCCATAATGAGATGTCCTGTCCCTGTCCTTCAGTTTCTCAGCTTTGGGGACCTGCAGTGTTCCCTTCTAGCCAGCGTGTCAGAGATTGCTTTCCATGGACGGTGTACACAAAACCCACAATGGTTTGGGCTTACATCAAGTCCCAAAAGCTGTGAAATGTTCCTGCATGCCACAGTCAGATACAGCCCAGACTTCTAAAGGAAAGGAGAACAAAAGGGAGCCTGTCATGAAGACTGCCTGTTTCCCAAGAGAGCCACAGTAGCGTGTTTTCAGCCTTGTTCCATAAAGGGTAACTCTTATGCATACTCTGTTTATGTGATATATTGCACAACTGGTAGTTACCTCTGAAGCAGTTAGAAGGTTGATGTACTCAGTGAGAATTTAGGACACAGACAGGGCAATCCTGTATACAAAAATTTGATGGTGAAACTAAAATGTGTGACCTTTGTCATTTGGGAAAGATCAGTTTCTTTCTCAGATGAATCTGAAGTCAAAGCTTATATTGTTCTGATGTTAATACTTTTGTTAACTTCCTTGTTTGGTAGATTTTTTTTCTGTGAGTGAAAGTGGCATGTTTGACACCAAAAAACATTGCTGCTTTGAAATTTTTGTGTATGAGGTGTGTGAGGGACATCGAAATCTTCATTAAAACCTCTACAGAAGATGTAAACAAAATGTGATACAGGTTTTACCTGTCGTTGGTATTCCTTTCATTTCAGCTACTGCACACCTCAGTGTCTTTTCCCAACTCCAGTCAACTGTGTAATGCTGCATAGTAACAGATGAGATGAAAAATTGAAATGTGATTGTTTGAATTAGCTTTCTGTATCCATAGCCATGCATCCTGGGTTTATTTTCTGAGGAGATGTATCACCACACTTCTCTCTAGATAGCTAGTGTAAGTGAGAAGCAAAGAAGGTCCGCATCAAGTGTTCATTCCAAGCACAAGATTGCTCATGGTCCTTTTTCCACTGTCTTTATTGACCGGGCCTAGTGTCTAACTTCTATACACAGGCTACGTACTCTTTAGCTGTTCTTAACAAGTAATAAAGAATCTGAGGCACTGCTTCTGTTGTTAAATTCACTGGTGATCAGAGTTCACTTGTGCGAAAAGGCTTTTGTCTGTCTTTATTGCTGCCTTATTTGTCTTTAAAGTTTAGTTTAATATCTCCCTGGGTGAGCAACAGCATGGGAGGTAATCAGAAGTTTGATAGCATGGCTTTAGGGAATGCATTTTGTTTGCTTAATTGGTCTACATTCCACCTACACAGAATCTGACTTAAGATATCCAAAGGTTTTCACAAGGTAAGTATCCCTGAAATTTAAGCCTAGAATTCTTGTCATGCCATATTTATGCCATATTTATTTATATATGGTTTATGCAGCCAATGACTGTGTATTTAATGCTTTGCTTTTTCTCACATCTCTTTCATCTGAGACATCATTCATTTCCATTTTCAAACAAGTATTTTTCACTAGTGTTTTAGTAATTTAAAATGTAAAGTAAAAAAAGACATTTATAGATTCTTAAATAGTGTCCAGATATTTGGACTTACCATTTTCCACAGAACTGTTCAACAGTAAATAATCAGAAAGTAAATAAAGAATTTTGAATTATTCTCAGCAAACTGCATTCAGAGGATGAGAAGAACACCTCCGCTAGATGAACTACAGCCGCCTCCGTACCAGGATGATAGTGGTTCTCCTCATCTTTCATGTACGCCTTCTGAAGTTGGAGACAGTAAATGTGAATTTTCACAGTGTAGCAACAGTCCAAGATGTTCATATAAGTGCCCAAGTGAGGGGAGCACGGGACACGAAATAGAAAGCTTTCATAACAAAGGATATGAAGAGGATGTGCCAAGTGATAGCACAGCTGTCCTTAGTCCAGAGGTAAATGAAAACAGTTCTGTGTACTGAAGTGTCATGCGGTGCAGCCTTTTGAGAGATTCCTCTCCCCAAAAGATCAGTGTACAGATACATGAATGCTAATATTGCAGCTCATTCATTAAAAAAATGTTAGTTTGTCAGAAAATATTACAGTAGAGTTTCAGATTGTTCTCTATAGTTATCTTTATGGCATCTTAACTTTCAAACAAGTTCCCAGTAAGAGTGATTTATTTTATTTTTTTTTAAACAAGTCAGAAAACTTCATCACGCTATAAGGACTGCAGTCAAAATTCTTTCTTCCACATAATTTTTCAAACTGATACAAAATAAATCCAAAACCACTTTTCAGACGCAACACCCCATAGTGTGAAATGTCTTTTATGAAAAAAAAATTCACACAAAACAAACAACAAAAGATGCATAATTTTTTTAAATTGTTGAGGGTAATATAAAGGTTTGTTCTGTTTAATTTTCCTTTTTTCTTGCTATGAACTGTAATTAGATCTATTTATTTTTACTATCAAGAAATAATATTTTCTGACATATATTTCCTTGAAATGTCTTTAACAACCACTTACCGCACCGACATCTGTGCAGAAGAATGTCTTTTGGTACAAATTTCTCTTTTGTCTCTACCTGAAGTTCTGAAGAGCATGTTAGGGTTCAGTCGTGATCAGCCAACAGCTGTTTCTGTCTTAGTAGACCTCTTTTTGGTAAGTTGATGTTGCCTGCCTGGGGTGTTGGTGCAACATCTGGAAGCCCCACCTGCTATGTGAATGCAAGGTCCTCCAGTAGCTGTCTACATGTACCTGGTGGTCAACTAGGACCACTGTCTGTATGAACATCACTGCTGGTAAAGACATAGCGTATGATCGTTGAACCCTAACAGATGGCAGCAAATCTCATCCTAGTTCTTCCTGGTTTATGCCACACTTCTCATTAATGTAAGTGTACCCGATACAAAGTGAGAAGACTGCCAACCTTTTTTACAGCCACTCAACAACTTGAAGAATGAAACTTTCAGAGGAATAAATTCCCATAGCTATGTAGCAACCAGTTTAAAATGGTTCAAAAAGGCTTCATTGTTGTGTCTGCTCATTTACATGAACAAGCCTATCTTTGATAATATGAAAATGCACAGGAAATACATTTGGTTTACCTACTTGGGATAAATTCTTATATGAACAGTAGGTTGACCTGTACTTGTAAACATTTTGCTTTTAAATATCACTATCAAAGTAGCTATTTTAAAAATACAGAGGATCAATATTTTTTTTTCAAAATTTGAAGTGACAGTAAAAGAAATTAAAATTAAGGATAAAATACAGTTTTAGAACTGATAGCATTTACACAAAGTTCAGAAAGCATGTTCAAAACAGACATGTCTTAACAGAATTCCAGTAAAATCACATTTAGAAGGCCATGATAATTTTTGGCACATTTATAGAGCCCTTGTGGACTGCAACAAGAGCTGCATTTGCAAGTAGGGGTTGTAATTCCTGTATTCTTTGCTGGCATCTCACTGTGCTCTCAATCACTAGCCAGCTCTTCAAGCTGGTACTATAATACATTAACTTAAAAATCTGTGTATGCTTGCACTGAATTAAGGTAGTTCTATCTCGTAAGAAATATGTATGTATTTTAACATATGGGGCACAGAAGAAGAGATCCTAAATACAGCCTAATTTAATGTGAACCCTGTCTGATTGACTCCTGGCTTTTGGCAGTACTGGCCAGGTAAAGTCCTTTGATTTCTTCTTGGCTGCAAGTCAGCCATCTCCTCAGGCTTTCGGTGTTTAATTACCTTGTTTATGAAATTAACAAAAAGATCATAGTCACTTCATATTGCTTAGAGAAAGCCATCTATTTCTACGCTAGATTTAATAATAGAATACAATAAATAAATAAATAAATAAACTGCTTTTTCTTCTTCTTCTTCTTCAGGATATGTCAGCTCGAGGATCATCTTCACAGCTTCCTAAACCTTTTGATCCTGAGCCAGTAGCTAAATACGGCACACTGGATGTGACTTTTGACTATGACTCACAGGAACAGAAGCTTTTGGTGACAGTGACAGCTGTCACAGACATTCCCACATACAGCAGGACAGGTGGAAGCTCGTGGCAAGTACACCTAGTGCTTCTCCCTATAAAGAAGCAGAGAGCAAAAACCAGCATCCAGCGGGGACCGTGCCCTGTCTTCACAGAGACATTCAAATTTAATCACGTTGAGTCTGAGATGATTGGGAATTATGCAGTTCGTTTTAGACTGTACAGCGTACGTCGCATGAAAAAAGAGAGGATTGTGGGAGAAAAGATTTTTTACTTAACAAAACTGAATCTTCAAGGGAAGATGTCAGTGCCAGTGATACTGGAACCTTCTTACAGTCTGTCTGTGAGTATTAAATGAGGCAGAATAAGAATACAGTGATATACAGTGTCCTGAATTTTGTAAGAACAGTGTGTATATTTATAGAGTCATCACATTCACTCGGTCTTTTTCAACAGTCATAGCACCGTATTAGCACAATGATAATTTCCTTATAGCTTCTGTAAGTACATTCACTTTCCACCTGCAAAAGCTGCCCATGTTTTGCCTTGTAATTACTTAGAAATTTCCAGTCTATAAATAGGGATATGATGGTAAATATAGATATACATGTATACATGCAAATACATTTATACGTATTTAATATTGTAATCTTTACTCTGCTACTGACAGTGTTTCAATGAAAAAAAAAAAAAGCTGTATTACCAAGTGCCTTCCATTCTGTTGCAATTAAATCTTGGTTGCAATAGGTATTTTCCTTTCAAGAAAGAAAGATAGGAAAGAGGAATTTTGAGAGCACAAAGCCATTTTTAATAACTTCAGATTAGAACCTTGTAAATAATTGATTTCTGGTTCAGTCTGAAGTGAAAAATAGTATGAAAAGTAGTTCAAACTGAAAAAGATTTTTGTTTGCTGAAAAAAAACCCTACCTATCTGATGAACAAAAAATATTGTCCTTCAAAATACCTTCATCTTTTTAATAAAGCAAAACAACGGTAATTAAGGGTAAACTTAAATATCACTGTCAAAAACCACAGGAGATCACTGTATGAGCAGTGATCAGCATCTCCTTTTTCTTTTTTGTAGGTATTTAAGTATGCTTCTGTCCGGAAAGAGAATGTTTGTCATGTTGTGGTCAGGGCTTCCTAGACTAGGAGTGGTTGAATGTTCATTGCTTAAGAGCTGCATATGTGCCAAATAATGGACTTTTGGAGAAAGAGAATGTGATTTAGCAAAGACATCCTTATTTGGGTGGTCTATGTGTTTTGCAGGGTTTTTTTTAAACTATCAGTAAAAGAAAATAGAATAGGAGAAGGGAAAGAAAGGAAAATTCTTTTGCGGATGAAACAATGCAGTTAATTTGTTCTGCGTTTTCAGAAACGTTTAGATTGATTGAAGTTGCGTTTCTGTTGAATATGAGTACTACAAAAGACACTCAAAATAAAATGCCGTGGTATTGAATGAATAAAAATGTATTTATTAGAATTAGTAAAAGCTGAGATTAAAACTTGGATCTCATGAAGGATCTTTTCTATGATTCGTTAAGAAGCATAAATCAGCCCATGCCAAGGATGAAGTGGTTCACTTAGCTAGTGTGAACTTTCCTAATGCAGAGTTGGCTAGTTTCATACCTAGTAAAAAAGCCCCCCATGAAATTCTAAATGTAGCTGCTAAATTTGTGTGTGTTCTCAATAGGTTCTAGTGTGAAATTTACCAAACTCAGTGACAGAGGTTAATGAATGGGCCAGGCTTTTGATTGATGGTTATATCCCATATGAGCACCCCATATGCATATGTGCATATTTACTTGAGCTTCTGTGGCAAGGAGAGTAAAAACAAATTCCAGAAGACATCAAAGATAAGAAGATTGTTATTTATTTTCTGTGATGGTAAGAGATGCCATATCTGCATTTTTATTTCCCCTTATTTTGGGGGGGAAGGAACAAGAGTAAGAAATATTGGTAGGAAGTGAAAGTATCTTCCAGAGTTTGTTGCTGTAATGGGATTTAGGCAGATTTATCTTAGCCCTACTTGTTGCTGGAAAGGAACCTTCATAGTCTTTATAGCTTGAATGAGGATCCATGGTTTTTTGGGACTATGCAAAACAGTTTTTAAACCTTCAGAAATTCATTCACATCTGAGTTTTTATAGGTATTTTTCTGTTATTATTTATAGCCTATATCATATTTTTTCCGTGAACAGATCTATTTCAGGATTTAACATACAGTTATTTTGCAAGAGCGTTAAAGTGTATTTTGTTTTTAGGATATGTGGCTGAAAGTGAGAGGCATCCTGGGTCACTTGACAACTTCAAGCCATTGTTATTGCAAACACACAGATCATCCTGATCACAAGTTTGTGAACTTTCATCTGAAAACATCAGCTTGTTTCATTTCCAACCTGAATTTCTTCATGGGCCGTTTATAACCATTTCTTCTTATGCCAGCATAGTCCTTGAGCTTAATTAGGTCTTACAGGTGTTTGCCTCTGGGTATATTTATACACATTGGTCATACTCCTTCTCAACTGTCTTTTTGCTAGAATAAACCAACAGCAATCTTTATGTCCAACTAATCATAAATGGCAGGCAGGATTTATTTAACAGGAGAAGGTAAGTGTTATTTCGATTTGGAGAGATCCAGCTGTTCAGGGGTATTTGTAATTATAAAATCCATGATAAGGTTCGTCGTAAGTTGTGAATTAAATTTGCCTTGTTCAGTTGCAGAGTGTTTTGTTGCTCTGAAGTGTTTATATTTGACAGCTTTTTTTGTGAAGATATTTCTTGGACACATGACAGTTGCCCTATTTTTTTTCCACTGCTTCTCATTACATGGATTTTATGTATTAAATATACCTTCTGTCACTGAAACTTCCTAATCCATTGAAACATCTATGCTAATCTCTTCTGCAGAAACATACTTTATTTGCTTCTGTCGGTGCCTGATATTATATGTATGTATTTTATTAGCTAATCATCTGCCTTCTGATTGTATAAGAACAGTTTCTATCCTGTGAAGTTTAGTATTTTTTCTGACATACCTTAAAGCTATTCACAAGGGAATCTGTTTAAATTAGACCAGCAAGTTCAATGCCTTTGAAACATAGTGATGTGTTCACATGAGTGGGCCTGCAACTCTCTGGTTATGCCTAAAATGCAGACAAGTACATGTCGTGGTGAGTACACGTTGCTAGTATGTTCCTTAAATAGGTTTCAAAGCTACATATGGCTTGAGATTTACAAATATATTCACAAATGATCATCCTCACCCCACTCCTCACCTTCCTACATTGCGTATAACGTTTTGCATTAGCAGCTATTATCCACAGTCCCATTGCCATTTGTATTTAACAGTCCTGCGTTGCTGCAGTTCTCCATCGTAACAAGGAACTCCTCCTCACGTGGTATCCTCAGCTCCCTTATTTATCACACACTTCTTTCTAAGTTCGGTGTATGTTTGAGTGAGGAAGAAGCAACAGAGTGCTCTTATCACTGTGACCTGAGACTGTCCCTTTCAGATTTGAGAGGAAGTGGCCATTGCATCAAAAGTTAATAGCAGGGCTGTACATTGTGGTTGTGTCTGTGTATAGTTTGCTTAGGAAGACCTCTGTTGATCTTGTAGAGAAAATTTACTTGTAGTCTGCAATGGTAGACAAATTTTCGTTCACACACCTCGGAGTTTAGAATCCGTTATGATGTTTATTTTTCTTCAAGAAATCTCCATGGACCTGTTATAGTTGCTCTTCATTCTTCTTAAGCAAAGAAATTTTCCTCTTGGTGAACAACAACATCCAGTATGATGTGATTATAAAAACATATACGCAGTTTATTGAGTGAAATCTCTTTGGAAAAGATAAAAAAAAACAAGTGTAGTCCTCTTCACCATCCCATAGGTTGCTTTTTGGTGTAGAATAACAACACACACACACAGTTTAGATTTTTTTGATTGATTTTGGAAGTACAGTTTTGACGACAGAAACACACTTCTTCCTGCAAAGCAAATCTAGTAATCGTTTAATATGTATTGTCAATGACGAGATGGTAGCTGTGGAGAACTAAATTTATTTCTTTTTCTTTCTGTAACATTCTTCATTTCTAACATATTGAACTCCCAGATTTGATCCCTGTAACAGCAAATGGGTGGTGTAGACATTCATACGTGCTTAAAGGATTATTTTGTATATGTTTACTATAAATGTCCATATTAATTATAATTTTTTTGAGTGAAGGCATTTATGCATGCAATGTATAAAAACGCTCACTCTTGCACACACGTGTGCGTGCTCTCTGCACTTCGAGGACGATGGTCTAGTATAGGTTGGTTTATGCATTGTGCTCAAGGCATTTATTTCATGTTGCCCTTTGTGTGGCTTATCTTTAGTATTCTTTCTAGTGGATGTTTATCAGTTTATAAACTCAGAAATGCCACTCTGAAAGCTTTTTTTCTTTCTTGTGAATTGGCCATTTTAGAGTCAAGCTGTCAGGTTTTGTGTGAATCCTAATAGTTTAGGCCTATTGGTGACTTTACCACTGTGTTCTTATGGCATGGTCTATTCAAGATCGTATTTGGAAGGCTAAATACTAAAATTTGTATGTATAAACATGCCTTTACTAAATATTAGCTACCAGTATGATACTTTAAAACAGTTAATGAAACAATGACTAAAACTTGTCAAGAAGGAGAAAAAAAAAAAACCTCAAAAGATTTTACTCGTAGTATTTTATTTAACTAGAATTCTACCTAAAAGGATCAGTTACTATGTGATGGTGCATAAACGCTTTCAGTTAGCTTGTAAAAATTACATCCATCAAAGTAAGGGGCAATTATCTTTAAGCACTGAGCACTTTCTTATCTTGGGAATAGCTTGCTGAATTCACTTGAGTTAGTGGTGTAAAACATGGAAGATCAGAATTAGTCCTTTGGCACAATAAGAAAGATGACTCTTGTGATTTATTTGGAGAAAATTATTAGGTGATTGGAAAATGGTGATCATGTTAGTGAGGGTGCAGGAGAACTTGACAGTACTTGGCAAATGAAGTGGATTTCCTGTGTTTGTCTGGTTGTGCAGGATTTCACGACAGTATCGGCAAGCAGCAGCCAAAAAAAAACTCACCTTGTTTGCCTTTGGTGTTCCCTGATCACTGCTCCTGGCAGCTAAGAAGATGAGCTCTAACTCATGGTGCTCTCTGCTCAGGTCTTCATCAGGATATGGGTGGGGGAGGACCAAAAGACAACTGTGGCTACTTTGCTCTAAAACTAATGGTGTGTCTGTACTGTTCTGACAAGTTCAAGTTTCAAAAACTAGAATCTGACCAGATGATAAGGACCTCACACTAGATAAGTTCA